GCGGTAGCAATGTGGTCCAAGGGGTGATCACCGTCCAATCAATGACTGGATCGTCATTAATAAGCTAAATTGCGATGTGTAATTGGTAATTGACATGTTTCCCGGTTTTTACCCTCAACCGCACGAATTGATATGAGAAGGGTGGCTTTTTTTGTGCAGTAAGCGAAGCATTGCTCATGGATGGTTTGCTGTGTAGACCATATTTTTTTTTGGGTAATTTATTGGGGTATACATGCTTCTACCCATTTTTTTTCAAGTAGATTAGAAGTTACCTTTTTGAATGTGTTAGTGGAGTAGTGTTAATGATAAGAATAGAAACCATAACGTGGTGACTAGGTGTGGGGTGCTACCACCACGACCTTAGCCCCTTCCCTCTGTCGACCATACTTAAGAAGGGAAAGTGTTGCCCTTATTTCTTTTTTTCTTTTTACTTTTTATTTTGAACAATATAATTTGGTGCTACTTCATACCAAAATTGGCTTAGGTCATCTACTGCTTGGTTATTTTGTATGTCTCTCTATCAATAGAAGGAGCATCCATAGTACACTTTATTCTTACTTACACTGAGTGTTTCAAAGCCCCGTGATTTTCGATCTGCTGATTTGGATAGAAATTGGCCGCAATCGAACTGATTCCATAATGGTATGGATTTCGGCCTGGTTCCCCTTTAAAATCTACTAATATGTTTTTTTCTTTTTAAGTTATCTAATATTTTCTTAAGTCCTATCTAAATCCCCACATCATAAATCTCTATTTTACTTTTTATTTTATTTCAATATTTTTTTAAATCATCGATTCAAACTGATCTTGACTTGATCTAGATCGCAATCCAATGATCTGACACATATATGTCGGTGAACAATTTGTTCCACCGATTTGGGTTTTGAAATGCTACTTACACCATTTACTTGTATTAATTGAGGGAAGTGTTTTATAAAACCCATCGTTCTTAAACAATTACAGTAAGATACACCTCTAAACCGTGTTAGAAAATGTAGTTTTGGTGCCAAAAACCTCTACTGAAGCTGCTGCAAAATCTACTTTCACCTCTATTTGTGAATTTTAAAGCTTAAAAGTGGTACAGTTTGTGTAAATCTATGAACACTTGAAATTATTGAAAATGGATGGTCTCGATAAGGTTTTGTAGGCTACACAATTTTAGAAATTGAAATTCTATTTTTATTTTTTCACGACTATACATCTTGAAGTAAAGATAATCAATTGAAGTGTTTTCCAGTATTAGAATAAACTTTCATGATGGGTTTTTTGAGGTGCGTCTTATTTTTATGGTATAAAACTGGCGCCTTATAGTGGGTTTTTTAAATATATCTTATTTTTGCCTCATTCACTGGACTTGCACCCGTCGGCTCTAAGTAAGTTGATAGAATCGTTCCATTATGATCTCGTAGCAGCAAGGACTCAAAGATGATCTGAAGCAGGTGGAAGTAGCTATAAATATGTCAACTGCATTGCATACTCCTAAAGTCCTCTTGCATTTTGATCCGGCAATTCCTGATTTGGATAGACAATTAGAATTGGGATTGATTGGGACCGAACTGGTTTTGAAATGGTATGAGTCCGAACACTACTCTCTCCCCCGAAAAAAACTTCCATTATATATTGTTCTTATTTTTTTAAAATTTACCCAATATTTTTTTTAGGTGCCTTCAATTCCCAACCCATAAACTCTTATTTTAATTTTAATTGTATTTTATTTATTTAATAATATTTTCTTGGGTTAACCGATTCAACCGATAGCCAAACAAGTTTTTGATTGAAAGAAATCTGTCACGGTTCGGGGATTGGTGTGTGAATTCAGTAGTACTAAAAGTAATTAATAGTGAAAGTGCGATACCATTGAAAAGTAAAGGCATAACTATTGTGCGAAAGAGTAGAGAGACAAATGTGACACCTAAAAAAAGAGGCAACAATTTGATGAATGCATATAGCAGTGCGAGACAACCCGGTCGGATTGACTCGGAACCGGTCGGTCAAATCAGGTCACGGGCGCACCCGGTTTTGGCCAATTTAGGTGATCCGGTTAGGTATTTTAAAAAATAAATTTAAAAAATATATAAAATCCCCCAAAATAAGGAATTTATTTGTAATGTGATTTTTAATGTTTTTTATTAATTTGAAAAAGAGTGGAAAGTGTTTTGGTCATGAATATAATTTTTTTACATTTTTCATTCTTTTCTGGGTTATTTTTAAAATACCTGTGGGCACTAATCTATTTCTTAATATCCATTTTTTTCACTACTTTTCTACTTCATTTGGAAGTGGTTTGTTTAATCATGTTATAAATTTACTTTTAAATTTTTTTTAAATTTATTTTGTATTTTTAAACACCTTTTTACCCTGCTGGGACCTGACCTGTTAGGCCGGGTGAACTACCGATTACTCAGACTTGGCCCTTGGCCGGTTTTCGAGTTCAGTTCAAGTAAAGGAACACTGGCAGTGGGGTAACTATGTTAATGAAGACGACTACAAAACTATACTGTAGAGTGCGAATTTCACCGTTGAAGACTAGAGAGAGAACTGCGAATGCACAAATGATAATAAGGATATTTGGTTTTGATGATTCTTTCTCGAGATTGGATTTTCCCCCACCCAAGAGTTCAATTTATCCTTCAAAAACAACAAAACAAACGGTCGAATTAGAAAAAACCTAAAAAACACTTATAGGCAAAATGCTACAGTGTTTTGCTTTTGTCGCGGACTTGCTATGTCTGTGGTGGTTTATTGAATGGACCCACAACAGATGGTGCCGTCCGTTACGATTCCGCATGAATTTTTGGATTTCATGAACCTCATATGTCCATGACAGTACCCGACCTGCCACAGACATGCTAGGTCCGTGGCGGTCGAAAAACACACACCCTCCAATTTTTTTGGACGGTGATTCGCAAATGGACGAAATCACTGTCACCTTTCATCTATAGGCATTGCGTAGATGCTTCCTAGTCACCACATTGTGGTTTCCATTCCCACCACTAACACCAACCTACTAATACTTTTAAAAAACTAATTCCTAATCTACTTGAAAAAATGGGTAAGGGCATGTTTTCCCCACTTAATTACCCCTAAAAATTTCTAATTTACTTGAAAAAACGGGTCTACTGAATTACCTCTAAAAATTTCTAATTTACTTGAAAAAATGGGTAAGGGCATGTCTTTCCCACTGAATTACCCCTAAAAAAAATTTGCAGACTCTTTTAGGAAGACATATTCTTTTAGTCTTAATTTGCAGACTCTTTTAGGAAGACATATCCTTTTAGTAATACTAGAACTCAAGAGAGAACCAAAATTTTTATCAACTCGTGACTTGAACAAGTGGTTTGATGTCTATATGTAAAGTGTATAGGTTGCAGTCAAACAAAGAAGGAAAACGCTTATACAAGTGCGAGGCTCTAAACAATCAAATTAGGGCACACTTTAAAAATTTTATTAGAAGAAGTTGTTTTGATGCCAAATATCATCGAATTGATCATTTCGACCTCAAGATGTATGGACATGAGAAAAAAAAAGGATTTCAAGTTTTGGAAATGGTGCATCTTGTAATGTATTTTGGACCGTCAATTTTCAAGATTTTCAAGTTTTCATAGATCGACTCGATCTATACTATTTTTGAAGCTTAAATTTTATAATTAGAGATGAAAATATATTTTAAGGCTATCACTAAGATTTCTAGTATTGAAACCACATTTCTTGACACTATTTGATAATTCGCTTTATTTTGATTGTTAAGAGCCTCGGCTTTATACAAACCGCACCCAACAAAGAAATATGTGTACTTGTTGTGATTTCCCCGAAGAAACGTATATTTTTATTGTTAATTGTCTCATCTTAACGGTCGCCAAACAGCTATTAAATGCAGTGGTGTTTCATTTTTAAATTTCTAAATTAAAACATCGATGCTCTTCATAAGCTCTCTCTCATTTAATTGTTGAAAATAATGGTGGGGAGGGTTTTTCTATAAAACTAGACTCTTTTTTTCGCTGCAGTAAATTAGAACTAGACCTACATTATCTCTTTGAAATGACCTTATTCAAAACAAATCAGATCCGATTAGGATCGTCAATTCCTGATCTAAATCACCCATAGAACCAAATTAGATCTAGATCGACTATTCCCTATCCGAATCAACAGGAACTAAAACCCCGCTAAAAGGGGCGTAATGAGTTGCCACCGCGGGTCATTTCGAAGGCTAAGAAGTTGCCACCATACAAATGTGGGGAGGTTCCACTAAAACTGAACGGGTTTTGGTTTTGGTTTTGGTTTTAGTTTTAGTTGCAAAGGAGTGTGGCTTATCTTACATGAGAGAAGCGTTGTTAAATCCCATGCCCAATAATAGGACGGGAACAATGATGAACATACATGAGATTAAATACTTAAATAACTGATCAGATGAAGAGAAAGAGAGAGAAACAAAATCAGTTGGAGATGAAGGGAACAGAGAGAAGGCGGCAGGCTAACACAAAATGAGGAGAGGAGTTGAGAAGTTGTAACTGCAAAACACTTACATAAAAAAACGTGTGTATGGTTTGCTAGCAAATACATTTAGCATCTTTCTTCTCACAATAAATATCCATTAACCTATCAATCAACTTCATCAAGTCATCTCTCTCTCTCTCTCATTAAAGAATATATTACACATAAATTTCTTATGTTTTGAATTTTTTTTTTTGTTTTTTAGATCCCTAAGTTGGACCATCCAGGTCAGAGATACTCAGGCTCGCTAGGGTGGCAAGTCCGAGTTACTCGGGCATCCGAGTTGGCTTGTCTGAGTAATCCAACACTTTAAAATAACAATATACACTCTTAAAAAGTTGGACTTGAGTGTAAAATATGAAATATAAAAAGCATTTTTAAGGTTTTGAAAACAAAATGAAATTTTGATTTACTCAACAGAAACTGTCCATCCATTGCAACAACATACCAATGTTTACATTTTGCAAACCTCAAGTTAGTTGGCTTATAGTGGCTTGAAAGTTTTTCAGGCTTTCGGAGCAGCCTGGAAGGCTGCATGCGAGTGGAAAGGGCCATCACGCCTTTTGATCCCTGAAGGAACGTTCCTCGTTGGTCCAGTCCTATTCAAGGGTCCGTGCCCCAGTGCCTCACCCATGGTTGTACAAGTGAAGGGCAAAGTGAAGGCTTTGACAGATATGAGCAAATACCCTTCCGACGAATGGATCGTGTTCCAGTATGTAGATGGCCTCGTGGTAACTGGGGGCGGGACGTTTGATGGCCAGGGAGCATCTGCATGGAGCCTCAACCAGTGTCCTAAGAAAGCCCACTGCAAACTTCTCCCTACGGTACAAATGATCTCCCTCCTCCATCCTATTCTCATTTATAAGACTGTTCTAGGTTAGAAGACTTACCCTAACTACATAACTTATAGCATTGTTGGATGTAGTCTTATGTTTAGTTGAAGGGAATTTGTCGTTTCAACCTTGTGTAAGGGCGCAACAACAAAAAAACAACAAAAGAAGAGACCAACAAATTTTCTAATTGTCAAGGTTACAATTCATTGAGAATTATGAATGTTTTCTCATGATAATTGAAACTTCTGCAGTCATTGAAATTCAATTTCATTACAAACGGGGAGATAAGGGGCATACATTCAGTGGATAGCAAGCTCTTTCATATGTTATTATTTCGCTGCAAGAACTTGAATGTCCAATCCATCAAAATCTCAGCTCCAGCTGACAGCCCCAACACTGATGGCATCCATATCGGATCATCTTCCAATATCACGATCTCAAGAGCTCACATTGGAACCGGTGATGATTGCATTTCCCTTGGGCCTGGAAGCACCCAAGTAACCGTGAAGAACGTGTTTTGTGGACCAGGACATGGCATTAGGTGAGCTATGACATTATTTTTAACATTTATCTTAAAAGAGGAAAGGAATCCAAATTTTTAAAGAATTAGGAGATAGAAAAAGAAATAATTACATCTAGGCTCTTACTTACTTTGGAAAACTTGAAACTTTTTTTTGTTTTTAAAATCGACACACACAAAAGAATTTAAACTGACATTTTCAGGTTAAATGAAAATAAATTGAGCCTCATTGAAATATCTTCATAAATTTTAGTGTTGGAAGCTTGGCCAAGTTCCCCAAAGAGGAGGATGTGCAAGGGCTTCATGTGGAGAATTGCACCATCTCAGACACCACCAATGGTCTGAGGATCAAGACATGGGCAGGCTCAGACAGCAGCTCGGCCTCCAATTTCACATATGAAGACATCGTGATGAACAATGTGGCCAACCCCATCATCGTAGATCAGCAATATTGCCCTTACTCTTCTTGCCCACAAATGGTAAAGCATTTAAGAGTACCACTTCTTGCATAAGGCTTTGCAAGACAAGAGCACTCATGCATTGAGTGTGTGTGTGCGATAGAGGTTTTAATTCATCCATGGAGTTCGATACATTGAGATTCACTGAAGAACTGATTTTTAACAAACCTTCTCATGCTTTTGTTGCAGGGTCCCTCTCGAGTCAAGATGAACGATTTAAGTTTCAAGAATATAAGAGGAACCTCTGCTTCTAAAATTGCAGTAAATCTATTGTGCAGTGAGGCTTTCCCGTGCCAAAATGTTAAGCTTGATGACATCAAATTGGAGTACAATGGACAAGGGGAAGCTTCGTCGGCCTCATGTACCAATGTAAAAGGGGTCTCTACTGGGATACAAATTCCACCAACTTGCATCTAGAATCCATCCTCACTCTTTCTATTGGTTTCAAAGATTATTGGAACGAGGATGCTCCATTGTCTTTATCAGCTTGATGCCTTTCCTCACATGGGGTTGTGGCACGTACCATATATATGATCAGAATTGAATATTTTTATGTGAAAGTGAAAAATTGTGTGTCATATGTGTTACTTATTTTTCAATTTCAATAAAACGGGTAGGGGCTCATCATCCCCACTGATTCACCTGAAAAAAATATAAAAAATTCTGTGTCATCTACCCAACTCATAAAAATCAAATATAACATAAAATGTGAATTTACATATATAGCATAACTTGTTTCTTTGAGAGGAACTGAGCTTCTTTGCTCTGTTTTCACCAAAATCAAAAGCTGCATCTCTCTTCTATGCGACATACAAACCTTGATTCGGAGATGCTCTTTGACTCATTCAAAATTCTCTACGCAATTGGATGAGTCCAAAGCCCTTACAGAATTCCTTGATAATAGAGGAACCAACAAGGGATGGAGAATGGTGGACCCGCAGGGCCACAAAATTCCATCAAATTCTCCCTATATGCACGAATTTGAGTCCCATGTGGACAAAATAAATGATGTAACCTAGAGGCAAAAATATCACTTCATTGAATAGAGTCCAAAAAAAAATTATTAGATTTCATGACTCACCCTAAGCCATCTAATTTGACATCTAATAAGTGAGAATGATTGTGACCTCTATGTACAAAAGATAAATGGTTTCTTTATGGACAATCCCCTAGGTAAAAAAACAAATCATGGTACAAGTTTCCGACTATAACCATTCAATTAGGTCACGATTATGCACATGCCAATGCGATTGACATTTTTCTTTTGAATATTAGCGTGTGAATGCGGTATTGACATTAGGAAACGAGAAAATGTCCTCCCAGCAGTGTTGTTTTTTCTTTTGACACATCAAATATTTTGAAAAGAGTATTGCGAAGTAATTTGTGCAATTTCAAAAAGACCTAGGATTTATAAAAAAAAGTAAAGCAATCATCTTGAAATCTTGTCTCAAAAATAATTTGAGCATGGGAAATCACTAAGATGGCACTAAACATTATAAAAATTTTAGCTCAAAAATTGATATAGATCTTGTGGATATTTGAATACTTGCTCTGCTGTAGTTGTTGCCAATGGGGATCCTCAAATCTAAAAAGTCATGGGGCCAACCTATTAGGTCTAAAGTTTGATTCCACTGCTGTGGTGCCGATAGCATCCATTTCTCATATATCGCTATAGAGAAGAGAAAATGTAAATTTCAATTAGAATTAATTAAACAACTTCATCTTTTGATTTAAACTAATTTCTGAATAGCAAAAATATTGTAGTTAAGGTTTTTATTTTTATTTTTTATTTCTTCCTGGAGCCTGAATGGGTTAGGTTGATTCGGTCTTTTATTCTTTTATGACGCAATATAAAATTTACCGGCAAAGATAGCCACGTTTAAGAGAGAAAAAAAAAATCGTGAAGAAAATCTCAAGAAAAAAAAAAAAATGCGGATACGGGTATTCTGGCGCGGATAATACTATGTTTATTCCATAAAATTCAATCTCCCATTACAATTGTGTACATCATTTTTTTATAAAAAGTCCTATATTTCTAAAAGATAAGACTTGGTAACAGAAAAAAAATCCCGCTAACCTCTTCTCTTCCCATTATATCCTCTATCAAACTTTCTAAATAAGATAGTCACCCCCTATTAAACCAATATTTCCTATCCTTAACCATGAGCACTACTCTCCTCCTTTCTTTCAAATTGTTGCAACTCTCGTTCTTAAAGAAATCAAACGAACTCCTTTGCATATATATCCAACTTATTCTTCTAATTCAAAAGATGATTTGGCTTTAACATATAAAACCAACCTAAACTTCTCCTAAACAAAAAAAGACGTCAATTTTTATCTCTAAACCCAACTTCCAAAAACAAGATAAACTTTCTTCTAAAAATAAAAATAGCAATAATAAAATTAAAATTTGTAACTGCATCTGTGTCATTATCTCATAGGGTATTTGTATCTTTGCTTATTTAGAGAACTAACGGCTTGAGTTAGAAGTCTAATTTTAAGTAGAACAAGGGCTGGAATTCAATTGTGATTACAATTTGTTAAGAACAATGTCTTAGGGTTTTTCTACTATAAATATGCAATTGTTGGGCAAAAAAAGATAAAGAAAAAGAATAATTGATTATTGGATTTATGGTGGTAGGCTTCCCTACATGCCCAAAGAGAGGTTATGTTTTGTCACCTTCGTTTTTTTTTTTTTTTATGTTTTCTTGGCCTGCATCAATTGTTACCAAAGGCTTTTGATCCCTTCATCATGTGGCCATTAAAACATCTATTATTTTATATATAGACCACATGGATCAATATTTGAGAGAGCCAGAAGAAGACTTAGAAAAAAGCCTTGGCAAAACAACGTTAGGAGTGCTAAAAGACCTACTCATCAGGTTGAAACATTTAGAAAAAAAAATATAAAGAGAAATATGTACAGAATGAAGTTAAAAATCAGTCTCAAATCCGAAATATGAAGAGGATGAAGATAAAAATCTGTCTCAAATCCATATATCAGCCATACATCACGACAAGCTCCCATAGTAAATATTGAAAAACCCACCTAATCCATCATAAGATATGAAATATGAGACCGTGAAGGCGACACAGGCTTTAGAAGCATTGCGCATTTTACATATTTCCATAAGAAGCGATAAAGTAAATGGCCAATTATAGTGGAAGAGAGAGACACACTACCAATTATTTAAAAAACCTTTGAAGGAGGTAATGAATTCAACAAGCTCAAGGTATTGCTTCTCTTAACCTCTAGAGAATGATATAGTTAGGGTTTTATGTATTTTTATTTGTTATTATTTCTAGGACACTAAAATATGGTTTGGGGCTATTCACTGTTTCATTTTTTCACCTTGCGGTCTATGTTCCTTTTTTTTTATTGTACGATATTGAGGGGTGGAACTATAATTTTAAATAGACTAGGGATGACACTTAATTGTAATTCTGATTTATTAAGAAGCAAGTTAGGTCTTAAGATACTTCTATTATATATACAGTAATATAGCATTGAACACAAATAAATAAAATCATTTGTTGATCTTGTGAAATTGTTTTTGGGGTAAATTCCCATGTAGACCCAAAGAGATTTTCTATAAATTTATTTTTTATTTTATTTTCTTGGTCCTTCTAGTTTTTTCTTTTTTACCTACATTAGAAAAAATTAATCAATTTGCAAAATTTGTGAAAAACATTTCTCGACTAATACATAAATGATGTGGCAAGGAGAATCATTTTTGGGTTCCGAAGTATAGGTGAACACTTAAAAAGGGGATTGTCTGCAAAGAGGCAATTTATCTTTTGTACATGGAGGTCACAATCATTCACATTCATTAGATGTCAAATTGGATGGCTTGGGCTGAGTCACAAAGTCCGAGAATTTTTAATTTAGAACATTGTGTCTATTCAACGGCACTTTTACAACTACCCATTTTGAAATTTAAGAGATAAGAATGACTGTGACCTCCATGTACCTAAGATAAATGGTCATAAATAGTTTCTTTATAAACAATCCCTATAAAAAGTAGATTGTCTAGACTCTAGATAATGTATTATAAGGTACAATATTTATCAATTAAAGTTTTTTATTTTCTTTTTCTTCAAATCCTCTAATTTCAAGATCGTTCAAAATTGAAAGCACAATTTTTAAGCCTTGTGCTGATATTTTCCTTGCATAAAAGCCAGAGATATAATTGTGAAATGAAAGCTCTAATGAGCCAATATTTACATTGTATGGTGGCCTATATGTTTGAGAGATTGCACGCCACGAAACATGGATTATCTTTCTCTCTCTTCAAATCTCAATCAGAAGAAAGAGATTACTGACGTAGAGGAAAATCTCTAATTTTTGCTGCTTACTCTCGCCTTCTTCCCCTATAATACCTGGTACATGATCACTATTTTAATTTAATTTTGTGTCGGTAGTTTTAGTTTATTTTTAGATAGAAAATACATTGATAGAAAATTTATCCAGTTATTTCTACAGTTTGATGGTAATTATTCTAATATTTTTTATGAAATTTAATGAATTTTTATTAATTTAGGTAGAATTGATTAATTTATGCATCGGTAAAATGAGAGAGGTGCACACTTTTACAGGGCAGAACCCAAGAAACCGTAAACACAATTTACACCGAAGAAAACACAAACAAAATTATGTTGGTATTGTAATCTTTTGGTCTACTCCACATCATGATCCTTCCATATACCCACAGACATCAAGGATATTATCTAAATACCCCCATTCTGAGTCTCAACTAGAAGAGAATCCCTGGCTGCCCAAGTTGCAAGTTCATCAACTTGCTTATTTCTTTCTTTCTTTTAGATCCATTACCTCTCGATTTCTAATAAGTTAAAATTTTTTATCCAATATAGGACTCCAAATCCCTTGTGCATCTTCTTGCACTAGTAAATGACATTTGATGAGTCACCTTTAATAATTCCTCTGTTCCATAGGGGGTTTGAAGTTTGAACACATTACACCTTTGTGTTGAGAATTTATCTAGTTTGGATCCGAAGCCCTAATTTGGATTCTATCTAGATCCAAGTCCTAATCATCATCATAGGATTGTTCCAATTAATTGGGGTGAGATACATGAATCCTTGTCCGTTAGTCTGCTCTATTAAATGTCATACCTTTATTGAGGCCAAAAATCTCCATATCTTTTCATACTCATTTCAACTATGTCCTTTTGGGATTATCCCTTGCCATTTTCAATACTTTCACTTGAACTAACCCGAATTTCATAATAGGTGATGTACTGGGTCGGCGTCACACATGGCCAACCTACCTAAGTCTACTCTCTCTCATCTTTTGCCTATTGGTGCCACGCCTAAATTTTCTTTAATGGATTCATTTTGAATTTTATCCCTTCTTGTCTTGCCACTCATCCATCTCGACATCCTCATCTATATTATAC